CTTTTAAAACTACAATTCCCAGTAGAGACGTGCCATAGAGAACATGTTGCGAAACAAAATAGCCAGCATGTGTAGTTCTCGGGGGGCGTTCGAGTCCAGTTTTGAATAGTCTGCCGTGGTTTCGTTCCATTTCAAAGAGCTTGACGCTCGGCTTAACCTTGGCGCACTGCCACTCCAACATCCAATCCCAGAGCTTGAAGATTAATCACGGGGTTTGTCAACGGGACTGTAGTCCCAAACGATAGCTGGGGATTATGGGTAGTGTAGTGTCTTCGGCCATCCTATACTGAATTTTTTTTCGGATATCATATCGCATTAACAAAACCACATCTGGCGTCACAGAGATCTTCTGTTACTGTCCTTTCTTCTTAGAGGGAGTACAGAAACACGTAACTCTGGATTTGTTTTAATGTTTGAGGTGCAATAAACGACACAGCAGCTTTTTGGCATGTTAAAACTGTTATTTTCTGTCTCGGCGAAAATTACAGCCTCACCTGATTTCAAATGTGTGCTCTAAAATGATATTTATAAATGACTATTATCATTATTATAATCAAGACAATAAATGGCGAAGATATGTAGAAAATAAACGTATTGAAGAGACGTTCATAAGAAACGTAACGTGGGAGAAAACATATTTCTAGAAGATATGTAGAAAATAAACGTATTTGAGATACGTTCATAACGAACGTAACGTGGGAGAAAATACGTTTCTCACTAAACGTAATTGAGAATGCAGTTTAGTTCTGTGGGAACGTAATTTTTAGGAGACAGGGTTGCAAATACAAGCCTTGAAACCTTGAGTGTTAAAGCCGAGACATTTTACCTGCATGTATCTGTGGATGTGCCATGAAGCCTGTTTGCCATCGTTCGTTGATTCCACCGTGGTGTTGGCCAAACCGGCGATGTCTCCTCCTGCAAACACCCAGGGCTCGCTGGTCTGCATGGTGTCCGTGTTCACCTCCGGAGTCCCCCAGCGGGTCATCTTCACGGGAGCCATGGCCTCCTTCACTACACACAGATAAGATATAGATCAAGTTATGTTTGCATCTAAGTTATGCATCGATCGGCAACACATCTGAAGACTCAAGACTGAGAAAGACTACATTTCTTATTTTATGTAAAACTGCAAATATAAATAAAATATAGGACCATTTTCATAGTCACACATAAAGACCAAGAGTTTACATATTAGTTGATTGAATAAATGAAAATCAACATTTTGATTATGTATGACGATTTTGGAATGATGAAGATCTCTGGCAAACACACATTTATGATACCAACCAACACGTTTTGTTCAGATGGTGATCTCCACACATTGACACCACTTTATGATTTTTGAAGCATAAATATAATTGGCAGAAGTAAAAAGCTAACGTTAGGCTACAAACTACATCTCACATGGCTGTGCATCACAACAGCTAAGTAAAAGGCTAATGTTTGGTGTAATGACGTTTAGTAGACTAATTTAGTCACTAGTTAGAAACCACAGTTTTTTAAAACATGCAGAAGCTTCAGATATTCACCAGTGGGGTATTTACTGACGTAGTTTATGTGGCAGAGTACATATTTAAAATCTCTTCAGCTTGTGTTACCCAGAGACCTTATTTCAGGCTAAATGACGTTAAAAAAAAAACTTAATTCGCAACAAGGTATTCCAATCACTTGTATATAGACTCTTATTGCACTATTTCACTATTTTACTATTTTCTGTTTTGTATTTACATGCACAATTTTTTCTGTTTTTCAGTTTAATTGTGTTGCATTGTTGGTTTAACCTGTGACCTAAGATTTTCATCGTCATAACTACACTGTAGCTATGTACGTATGAATAATAAAAGCCTTGAACCTTGAACCTTGAGGTAACTGGATGTGCTAAAATGCTAACAGATTTTCGACTTTTAGGATTAATTCCTGCGCACATTATATTGATCAAATTACAATTTTAATACAAAACACACACAAGAGAGAGCAACATTTATAAACATCTTATGATTCATTTTCAACACTTGTTTTATTTAGCAAAAATTCTAAACTGCTGATCAGTGTGTTGCAGCTGATTGGTCGGTTACCTTGCGGCTCGTTGAGCATGGAACCAAAGGCACTGATGATGTAATCAGCCTTCAGCCTGACAATTTGCTCCTCGTCTTCCAGCCAATCACCTTCCTCAGTCTGCTCCGTGCGACATAACTGTAGCCCGGCAACACGACCGTTCTTCATGATGACCTCCCGAGGAGACAGGAAGGGCAGGAACTCACACTTCTCCTCCTTCGCCAACTCCATCTGACAGAGAACATGTAGCATATGTTGGGAAATTTGCACATTTAGCATAAGTTGCGTTAATTAGCATTACAGCTTATGCAGACAATAATTAAAAAAATTACTTGGCAGATCCTCTATAACCCCCAAAACCAAATCAGCCAAGTCATAAGTTGCGCTAATTAACGTACCTTATGCTATCTGTGCAAATTGCCCAATTATGCAAGTTATCATCCGACAGTTTTTATGTGCCGGGAACCCTTACTATACAATTCTAACATAAAACTATGGAGTACTCAACATTTCCTGGTTCACAGTGCTGGCAACTAGACTAATATTTTTCCATTTGATTAGCTATCCATCCATCCCCCCTACCTCCTCAGGGACGGCCCTGATGTTAGTGAATCCCTTCCTGAAGCACACAAACACTCTCCTGGCTCCACAGCGGAGGGCCGAGGTGGCGCAGTCAAATGCGGTGTCCCCGGCCCCGAGGACGATCACCACTCCTCTCAACTCTGGCAGAGAGGAGCGACACTGACACATGCCTGCAGGGAACCAGACAGGGAGACAGGGGAATGGGAGTTATCACAGATTTAACTCTTTAACTTAACTCTGTTTTCTGGATGAAGTGTGGATGTTTCTTTTAGAATGGATAATATGGATATTTTGAAGCCAATACTGGCGATACCTTCTCCCTATGGATGATAGCTATTATGATTTGTAATTAAAAATGTGTTTCTAACCTGTAGTTTAAGAGGGTTGAACAGACTTAAATGTGGTCATCAAATAAGAATAATGTAATATTCCATTACATGACCTAACCTAAATGTCCCTGCTGTTGGACTAATAAAGCATCGCTGAATCTGATTCTGATCCAAAGAAAATATTTTTGGACTCTTCGAATGTTAAAGGTCCCATGTCATGGCCATTTCTACTGATCATAATTCCATTGTTGAAGTATACTAGAATATATTTATATTGTGCAATGTTCCAAACTCACATTTGTTTCTCATACAGAATCTCTGTATAGTATGTGTATTCACTCTCTGTCCTAAACGGCTTGTTGGAGCTCCTGCCCCCCCCTCTCGCTACAGGGTGTACTTTGAGGGTTTGTGACTTTGCAGACCGTTTACATGCATAAAAACCTTCATAACACACAAGGGGACGGGTAATAACCGGAAAAGCATGACATGGGACCTTTAATTTACCTGAAAAACTTGTTAGCAGAAATGTTGTCTCCCCTGGGTTTATTTGGCATTTTGAAGTGAAATAAATGTGTCTTGCTATACCGCTGATAATTATTAAGCCATACTTCATTATCTTGATAATACATAATAATATAATATACATGTCCCAATATTGGTTGATATATTTCAACCCAGTCTCACGGCATTTCGTGTTATAGTCACGACATTTAATTTATTGATTCGTGTTCACCAACACGATTTTCCCCATTTTTTCCATGTCACACAGAATGATTTTAAAAGCAATGTATTTCTATTGGTAGTGTGTTTCGTGCCTGCACCACATCTTTTTGTCCGGTCGGGTGACTCGGGTCTTGGAAAACCGGAAGCTGTGGGGTTCATAAAAACATGTTCTAACTCAATATCAAGCCACAATTATTGTTTTTATTTTTAAATCGTATAATGTCTGACTTTTTTGCCGTCCGCGAGGAAAAGAAACGGAGCTCAGAGCCTCAGAATACTGAAATCTGTATTTTTTAAATCTTTCTTTTCCTTCTAATTTGTTATTCTTTTCTAAATAACACGCAATTATCCTTGTTTTTATTTATTTGTTTGATTCTATAATCTCGGGCTTTTTTTGCCGTCCGTCAGGAAGTGAAATACAAAATACAGTAACAGGAAACAGACATAGGCCTATATGGGACATTTCGAGCATCATTGCGATACACACCCACTGAACTGATTACCCAAGATCCTCAGCTATAATTTAAGCCCGGTGACTGGATGTTTTTGCCGCAATGCATGTTGGGATATGGTGTTAATGCGATATGAAATCCGAAAAACATTTTGGAGTTTAGGATGGCCGAAGACACTACACCCGCCCATAATCCTCAACTATCGTTTGGGACTACAGTCCCTTTGCTTGACAAACCGCGTGATTAATCTTCAAGCTCTGGGATTGGATGTTGGAGTAGCAGTGCGCCAAGGTTACGCCGAGCGTCAAACATCTCTTTGAAATGGAACGAAACCACGGCAGACTATCCAAAACTGGACTCGAACGGGACCACATCCTCCTATTAATATCTTTGTCCATCCGGCACTAAACTGTTTTATTGTAGAGATCACTTACAGTATCTTTTTGATTTTTTATATTCTATATTTCTATCATTGACCTTCTACTTTCCCCCTATTTTGTATGTACTCTTAATATTTTTTTCAACAAATATAACATATTACAGTTTTTCTCGATTGCTAGCACACTAAAATTATACATAAAGCACAATTATTTTAACTGACACTCAAAGAGCAAAACATCGGCTCAAATCTCCAAAACTCTAAACACGTTTTCAGCTTTTCACACAATTTGTAAATCAACATGGCACTTTTTGCAAACCACTGCACACGTTTCTCCACGTAAGACACAGGAATCTGACATAAAGTCAGGTGTTAGCAGGTTTAGAACACTGATATTCAAAATGCCTCACACATGGACCAATGATCAAGAAACACGTTCCACCTGAGCAAACACCTGATTGCATAATTGTTGGCTCATCAATCAGGATGTTAGCACTATAAAAAGACCACAGGTGAGTACTTTCTTACAGCAACAATGGAAGCCAACATGGAAGCAAGAGCAAGAGGAAGAGGAAGAGCTGGGCTGAGAGTGAGAGGAGGAGGAAGAGGTGGTTGAGAGTGAGAGGAGGAAGAATGAGAGGTAGAGGTAGAGCTGGAGGGAGAGGACGTGGACAAAGAAGAATACTCTCTAATTAAATGAAATGTTATCAACCACGGTTTGACGATGAGAGAGGCTGGACAGAGGGTTCAGCCTAATCTAAGCCGATGTACTGTTACCTCTGTAATCCGGACACTTAGACTTGAAAACAGGTTA